GAAGCACTGGGTAGTGATAATCTCTGTTTCATGATGCTGCAGCCAACACAGGATTATTACACAGAGTTTTTATGGTTATCCTTTAAACAGGATGTTAAAACATAAAGATGTTGAAACATCAGAAAAATCCTGAGAATGGTTGAAAGTTTGGAAAGTGTGTGTTACAGCCAGAGCCTCTGGACACCCATTTGCTAGGGAGGAGTTGGATCATTGTATGTGAATGTACCTGGGCAGCAGGGATCCGGTGTCAGACAAAGAACAAAAAAACATCCTATGGTGGGAAATGAGTTACACCAAACTGGAAATAAGGCTTAAGTTTTTAGCAGCGAGAATAATACAAAAAGAACATGTTGCTGGTTGTTATGAACGGGTCTTCGCTGCTGAACACTTTGTTAGGGGGAGGATTTCAGTGACAACTGAAACCACCAGACTAGAAGCGGTGGGTCGCTGTGCTGCAGGGAGACTTTGGCTCTCCCAGACCCAAAGGCCACGGGGCAGAGATTTGCACTGGACTATTGGCCTGCTCTGGAGGGAAAAGGAGTTAAATAAGCTCTGAATGAACAATCCCACTTTCTGATGCTTGACAGCATTGACAATTCATGGTGGTTTATTGTGTGTTGCTTCCTACTGTCTTTCCTAGTGCAGGAGCCCGGGGCTCAGGCTGTTGGGTGGCAGAGGTGGTTGCACACAGACAGGGTTTCACCCAGCTGTCCACGCTCCATTTTTAATTACCTTTAACTTTTCCCACTCTTCTGCAGTCCTGTCAAGTGATTTTGCAGTTTTCTTACCCGGCAGCAACAGAGTCCAGGGTCACCTTTGTCATTTGTAGGGAAAGTAATTTCTGTCACCCCTGAAGGTCTTAAATGGAGGAATTAAAATAATGCATCCTCCGTGGTGGGGGAAAGTGTAAAGAAACACAGTACTGCTCTAGTTCAGCTTTATTTAGTGCATCCATGGCTTTATTTAGTATATTTTCAGGGTTTTTTAGCGCATTCAAAGTTTTATTTAATGCATCGGTGATTTAGTCACTGGAGGATAGAAACCAAACCAGAAAATCATAAATATTACAGCAAGTCTACTAAAAAAAAAAAAAAAGAATCATCAGAATAGGCTGGAAGACGTTAACAGGATATGCCCCAGTTCAGGGGAAGCAAACAGAACTCCAAAGGCAACAAATTTACCAGAGCACTGAAATAATAAATAACACGAGGCTACCACACTGCTGCAAATTTTACCCAAATAAATCTGAATTATTTTAGAAAGGGACTCAGATGAAAACACAGAATTTCTTTTGACTTCCAGGTCATTTCCTAGTACACGAAATACTAATGGTAATGATTTGCACTGTAATTTTTTGGGCTGATGGAGGTCATCATCATGTCTTTTACCACGGTGAGAAATGTTCCATGACGTTCAAAGACACTGTAATAAAAAAGTAGTAATAAAAAAGTGTATTAGTGAGTTCAGCTTAGATGGAGGGGGACACAACGTGTGGCAACCCTCATGGATCTTTATTTTATATAATGTAGCTCTACAGCTGCATTATTCACATAAACTTGGGATCCTTTTTTGGGTTTCTCCAGGAAGGGTAGGACAAAGTGTGCTGTACTTTTCCATTTATTTTACATTATGAGCATTTAAGGTTCCTGAGGTACAAAGATTTTCTTCCTTCTCAATAGAAAATACTTCCTTTGTTGCTCATAAAGATTTCATGCAGATTGGAAAGGACTGTTCTGCCCAAACCCTATGGAATATGCTTGTTTGCTGTGGAAAAATAGAGCAGCATTTTGGAAACTTCCAGCAACTTCTATTCAAGCCACAAAAGAGCTGCTGCCCTTTCATGGGCACAAATTTCCTGGGAATTTATCTATTTTCTCTAACATTGGGCAAATCAAAATTAAGAAAATGTTCAGCAGAAAAAACCCCCCAAAAGCACCCTTATTTTCGTTAGGTTTAGGCTAAAAAGAGAAGGAGAAATGATGCTTAATTAAGTTTTTATGCCTTTTCTCGGTTTCCTTATCCTGATTTAAAAGAGGGGGAATAAAGCTTGGAAATGTTTTGTGTAAGGCCACAAGCAGCTTAGAGTGATGGTTGATCTCATGCAATTTCCAAACTTTATTAAATCTCTGGTAATTTTCAGATTGTTTTACCTTTCACCCAGAAAATCATCTCCATAACCATATGGGAGAGATCCACTTAATATGACAAATAAATAGATTTTCTGCCACCCCGAGATTTAAATACAATTGATATTTTGTTTGCTCTCTACCTCTCATCTAATCTAACCTTCTCCATTTCTCATCCTTGTTGTTATTTGTTTCTAAACTGGCAGGCTTTGAGGATGTCATTTGTATTAAAAAATGCCAGGCTATTAAAAACCCAAGATAATTTATTGTACCAAAACAAAATTGCCAGCATGTAATCTCCTTAAAATTAGCATCGATTTGAACTTGTTTTCAGACACAGTGCATCAAACTCTCATCCCTTGGAGCCCGTTGACATGGATTACAGTCATATTTTTCCATCCTCGACCCCCATAGAAAAAAGTAAATCAAATTGAAGCACTTAATTAAGCCTGAAAAATATTTTCCTGTTAACAGAATAGTGGCAGCGATAACTCAGTTGTCCTTTGGAGCTGTAACAAGGTTTCCCCCTTCCTTAGTGTTATCCTTGGTGGGAAGTGTGTAACTCCTGCAATATATCAAGCTGCTGCTCTGGATCCCGGGCGAGCTGCTGCCCTGCTCCCAGGGGATGCTCCCGGGGAGGTTTTCCTGGATGTGGCACCTGGGGACAGGGGTTAGTGCTGGCCTTGGCAGCGCTGGGGGAACGGTTGGATTTGATGATCTCCGAGGGCTTTTCCAGCCCAAACGATTCCATGGGTTTTATGATCCTGTGGCTGCCGGAGCAATTTCCCACTCGAATTTCCGGTTGCATCCAAGTGCCCCTCACGGTGGAGTCCCTGGCTGCCCGTGTTAAAGATCCTCCCTGTAAACATTCGGGAGAAGCTGCATTTCCAAACATTTACATTTGTTCGGGAATACTAATTTCGTTTTGAAATACTGATTCTCACGCTCGGGTGGCAACGCCACTGAAAACAGTGCAAATTGGTCTCTCAGTGACTTGGAGATCTTTGGAGTTTTAGGAGTGTTTTTCAGAATAATTAACATCCAGGGACAGCACAATCAGAGCTTGCAGAGCTCGGGGCTGGAGTGTGCTGAAGCCTCAGGGAGCCCGAGCATCAGCTGGCCTGGGTCCTAGAGAGCATGAGTGGGAGCTTTAAAGACATTAAAGCCTTTCAACTGTATTTTATTTTGCAGCTCTGACATGATGAGGAGTTCCAGGGGACTTGTTCTGTGGAGAGATGTTACACTTTGGGCCGCTCTGCAGATGTGGGGCGTCAGCCTGGAGCCACGTTTTGTCCAACTGTAAATAAACTCCTGAGCACTGCTGTGCCCTGCGGGTGTCCCACAGTACAGCAAGGGTTTTCATTCTCCTAATTATGCCTTGCTGGGAAATACTTTCATTTTTCTCACAGATGCTAAAGAGAAAAGATTCAGTGAAGCATTAATTTATGTAAAAAAATTCTTACATTGATGCTATCTGAATTAACATTTGCTCTCTTTATTTCATTTTTCCTTAAAGGAAATTAATAACACGTCTGCACGCCTGTTTAAAACCATCCACAGAATCAGAGCATCACAAAATCATAAGATCACAGGATGGTTTGGGTTAGGAGGGACCATTAAAGGTCACCTATTCCCAGCCCCTGCAATGAGCAGGGACATCTTCCACTAGACCAGGTTGCTCAGAGCCCCATTCTCTCCTCCAGTAGATCCCTTTGCTGATTTTGGAGAGCATCCCCTGCTCCTGCCTTTGGGGTGGTTCACATACCAGCTCTGCGTTCCCCTCATCTTCCTCCCCTCCACCCTGCTCCCTGGGTGGGTGTGATCTGGGTGTGATCCCACACAGGAGCAAGCAAATGCTTTGGGAATAACGATCCCAGCTTGCCCCAGTTTCAAAGATTATTGACCACACCGCTGATTTTGAATTTCAAAAGATCTGGGTAGGAAAATGCCCGTTTCTCTCTAAGGAGATAAAAGGCTGGATGTCACTCCTCAGCTCCACAGTTTCACCGAGCGTGCACAATCAGTTCTCAACAAAACAGTGGAATAAGGGCAGATTAATAAATGGATAAGCTGTGAACATGCTGAGTGACACAGCTGGATCTAATCTGTATTTGGATGCCGTAAAAATGCATTTCCCTACAGCATGTGAGTTTTATATAAATCACTCCCAGAGCTCAAGCAGCAAAAAAAACAAGAACAGAGAGGGATGTGGGGTCAGGGGGACAATGGCCCCTTCCTTCCCTGTCCTCCCGGTGTTTTTCCTGCGCACCAGGCACGTGCCATCCTGTTCCAGAGGGCTGAGGGATTTGGGGATTCCCAGGAGCACGGGCAGTTTTGTGCTGTGCAGCCTCCGGGGGGGCTGTTCAGGTGAGCACCCCCAAATTTACAGGCAGGGCTGGGGGGTTTCTCGGGGGGTGGGTTGAGAGGTGAGTGGCAGTGACTTGTTTCACGGGACAGCTCCTCTGCAGAGCCCTGGCGTGGCAAACGGGGACACCGAGGCTGCAGGAAACCACGGGACCCCTTCAAGGTGCAGGGGGGCAACTCCAGCTCCTACAGATCTGTGAGCAGAGGGAACCCAGAACTGCTGTTTGGTTTTTCCTTTTGCTTAGCTAAAAAATCGGCGGTTAAAGTCATTATTTTTTAATTTCCTCAATTCGCCCAGAGATATGCACAGAAATAAAATTAAACCCCAGCCCCAGGACTCTCTGGAGACCTCCTGGGCTGCGGGATAAAGGATGTTGAAGTCTCCGGGCATCCCAGCCGCGGGAACTCCGCGGGCTCCCTGTTGGCACGGAGGAGTCTCCTCCTTCTGTGCTCTCACAGTGCCACCCCCTGGCACATCGGCGCTGCCAGGGACGGCACAGGCACACACGCACAGCTTGTGCCGCTGCCTCCCCACCCTCACAGGGAAGGATTTGTCCCCAGTGCCCCCCACCCAGGCGTTGGACACGTTTCTAGGAGGCGTGAAGGGCTGCGTGGCAAATCCCCCTGCTCTTTGCAGCTGAAAGGGGAAATGAGTGGAAACACGATGTTGAACCCTGGCTGACCTGAAAATAAACCCCAAAGGTGAGTGAATATATCTCCTCCAAGCTTTCACCTTTCCCTCTGTGCCCCTCTGCTCTCCCACGCTGGCATTGTGTAGGGGAAGGCACATCCACGCTGCGGAAGTTATTTTTATGCTGCCCTGTATTTGCTGTAAGAACTGGAAAACCATTTTGCTCTTGATTTTGTACAGCTCACCCAGTTTCATCAGAGTTTATTTATAGAGAGGAAAAGGACACACGAAGACCTTGCTGATCTCTCTAAGCTGGAACAAATATTCCACTGTACTCCTATTATTTTCATCCTGAAATATTTTATCTGAATCAAATTTTAACACAATCACAGGAAAGCCTTCCAGCATTAAAAAAGACCAGCTGCAGCCAGTGACAACAATTAACTACTGCTCGCTTCTGTGGCATCAGACTCAAGGTACAATTCAGATAAAAGCATTTTCTGACAGGTGTATCAGTGTGAACATGCAGATGTACGTCCATATTTGCATACATCTGTGCATAGATAAATGTCTGTGTGAGTGCACGGACTCAGCACCCACTCACCACGAGAGGGCAGGCAAAGAATACCAAAACCAGTTGTCCTTTGTGTCCCCTGTACGTGTCAATGAGCAAATCGTTCAGCGGCCAGGAAACATCACCCCTGATTTCTTTGATCGTCTCCAAGGACTCTCTCGCCACAGAACGGCAGAATGGTTCGGGTTGGGTGGGACCAGACCCACCCTCCGTGCAGGGAGCAGGGACACCTCCTACCTGACCGGGCTGCTCAGAATCACATCCAGCCTGGCCTGAGACAGTTCCCGGGATGGGGCAGCCACAGCCTCTCTGGGCAACCTGTGCCAGTGTTTTACCACTCTCATTTAAAAATTCTTCCTAATATCTAATCTAAATCAACCATCTTTTAGTCCAAAACCGTTACCCCTTGTTCTAGTGCAGCAGGTCCTGCTAAAAAGTTTTCATCCTGAATCTCAGCCCTCACAACAACCTCCTATGGCACAGTGCGATGGCTGTTGTTTGTTTCATTTGTTTTATTTGTTTTGTTTGCTTTGTTTGTTTGGAAATTCTCTGCATCTTTCAGGGATGAAACGGGCTGAGCTGGGAGCAATTCACTGTGGGGTAACCACGGGGAGCGTCACAAGTGAAAGGGGAGAAACTTCCTCCCTGCTGTGGCTGGAACCTCTTTGATGGATATGGCAGAGACAAACCTCCTGGACAGGATGGGTCAAGAGGTCTGTAAGGACCCTTGTGTAAAACACAGTGCCTTTGACCTGAGGAGGAAAAGGAGATACAATCTAACCCCAGGAGCTGCATCCCAATTTCTTAACAAAGATCTTCACATTTGTGTCCGAGGTGATGGTCTCCCTGAGGCTCTTGAGGGAGGAATTCTGTTCAGGGGGTGATGGATGTCAGACCCTCAAAGCAACAGCAGAATGGCAGAATCACTTATCACACGTGTAACACCTCCAGAGATACCATCCTCAAGTGGCTTCTCTCAAGGAAACCTGGGAAGTATTTTAAGGGATTGATGTGCCCAGCCTGGGCTGGAAAGCTGGGATGTACACCAGCAGGAGATACACTCACAACCAGCAAAAAAAAATCCCATTCTCTGTTTCCTGACTGCAAGAGGGACTCATTTCCCTTAACTCTGAATCCGTGCCTGAGTTAGTCACTCACCACTCCCTTCGTGCTCACCGGAGAAAGTCGGAGCTCCTTGTGGGTGACTCATCTGCTGGAGAACGAGATGAATCACAGGCAAGAAGGGCTTCCATTTCCCTCCACGGGCTGTGCAGGATATCAAAATCTCTGACAGATACCCACCTTGCAGGTGCCTGCATTTGGTCAGAGATACCTCCTCTTTTTCACCCGTGACATCATGCTGGGGTTACAAACGTCTACGAGAAGAAGGAGACCAGGACTTTACCCAGCTCTTCAAAGCTGCTGCCATCACTTCTCCTACCTGTCAGGAGGCTGGGGATACATATTTGAGCACAATTATCTGTGCTTCTGTGTTCCCTGTATTCCACCACTCCAGAGCACTGAACTTCCTAGTGCAAGTGTAGCCTGTGCACTGGTTCCAGAGGTTTTGCTGAGTTTTTCCCTCCCACCTCTGAAACCCAGCAGATGTTCAGCAGCAAATTAGATTTTCGGCATTTGGAAAAATCAGACACATAAGCAGGATTGTTTCCTTCAGGTTGTTGCCCTGTGCCTGCTGCCTCCCTCCACTGAAATAACTCCAATGTACCCCCTGCTCCATTATCTGGTCCAGAGGGGTTGTTGGATGGTGCAGGTCCCTTTCTGCTCCAGCAGTGTGTTCCACCTGGAGCACTGCACCACGACAGACTGTGCCAGCACAGCAAGGACCATGCTCAGGGCTTAAGTCAGGGTTTCAATCTTTTTCCTTCATGCAAAAAAAAAAAAAATCCAAAATACATCACTGGGGGTGGAAGTTACACTATTCCAGAAAAGCTGACACACTCTGCAGGAAGCAAAGACATTTTGGAAATAACTCAGAATCCACCTGTGAACTATTAAAAAAAAAAAAAAAAAAGATGACATAGTGATGGAACAAGGGGCTTGTTATGGGGAGGATCAAAGGGTTTAGGGAACATGACAAAATTAAAGCATTTCTAACTCATTTCTTCTCTCCCTAGGATTATTGCAAACTTATTTTCTTTTCGGTATTTGCCAAAAAAAATCAACATAGAAGGAGCAAAAGACAGGGTAGATCACACTCTGAACCAACTGTGGTGAAATCCTTTTCTGCAAGAGCTGAAAATTACCTGTGTCATGATCAGCTTCAAGGCCCTGTAGATATAATGTCAGTAATCCCTTCACTATAGCTTCCCTGCAGTAAGACAGCACTTAGCCAAAGGAAACACAGTAAAGAGGTGGAAAGAAGGGACAACAAAAAGGGAAAATTGATTATTTCAGCGGTGGTTGATAACTTAAACTCATTTTTGTAAGGTCTGAGTCAGTAGCAGGGACTGAAAACGCCAGGGGGAGAGACCAACTTTCCCCTTCATTCTCCCACCCAAAAGGAAACGAAAAGACAGAAGAAGAATGGATGACATTTCACACTTTAAATGGAGCAGGAGATTTAGAGAGAAACATGCTCTGTAACCCCATTAGCGCAGTCAACAGAGAAAATTGTTCTGCAGCTTGTTTGGCACCACCTGATTCATCAATCCTCCTGCTGCTGCAGTGGTAGAGCAGAGATAGGAGAAATATTTGCAGGAGAAACCACATCAGTCTCACCGGGTTTGCATTTCAAGATAAACTGGGTTTATCCATGGAGCGCAGTTTTCCTGCTGATAAAGCTTTGGGGTGTTCAAACCCGGGCTAGAAGATGTCCCTGGGGATGGCAGCGAGGGGCAGAACAAGCCCAGAAACACCTGGAAGCTCTGGGTTGGCTGCAGGCTGCCTCCAGCCTCCTGGGCTGGCAGGGCAAGGATGAGGCAGGAGGTCTCTGCCCTTATTCCTGCCTTCTCCAGGTGTTCCCCTGGCACCTCAAGGGCTCTGCGGGCAGTGGTGTGTGTCCGAGGCCCACAGGGGCTGGAAAATAAAATCAGGGGACCCTGGAGACAGTCTTGGCCCCCCACAATTCAAACACAAATTCCATTTGCCCCATTTCAACTCCCCCCAGACCGTGGGACTCTGCAGCTCCTGTGATATGAGTTTACTTGCCTGGGAGTTTTGCCCACGTGTTTTCCCTCTCCCTTTTCTCTTTCTGCCTCACTGCTGCACACCCCAGGACCCCCCACACCTGGGGCATAGTTTCTCCCCTCTCCCCCCTGATTTATTTGTGTTATTTTCTGTGGTCTCTCAGTCTGCAGAAGACCCTTATCACCACTGCCACCTCAGCTGTATCCTGCAGTGGTTCCTGCTTACTCCAGGAGTTTCCACAACATCTGCCACTCCGAGGGATGTACAACATCCCCCAAGCACCCCACGGATGTGGACCTTGCAGTGCCAGTGCCCTCATGGCCCGAGGTGAGGTGGACCTGAGGAAGGTCACGGTGGGTACCAGAGGGACTGAGCCAAGCCTGGTCCAGGGAGGTGCCAAGAGCAGCTCATCTCTGGAGTTCAACTAAAGACACAGCACCTGAGACCTGCAGGCACCATGTGAAGAGGCTGACGTGGGACAGGAATCACAGCTGACCTGGTGACCAGGACAACTGCCCTGTGCTCCTCAGCAGCAGCAGCAGCCCCAAGCCAAGCCAAAATCCTGGCGTTTGACGCATCATCACGTTCCCATCCCAGCCACAAACTTCCCTCAACAGCAGCAGGAACAGAAAAAGAGGGGCCAGAGCAAAGCTCTTGGACCTCTTGTTCCTCATCTATTTTTTTTTTTTAAAGAACGGGCTATAATCAGAGCTGGAGGAAATGGAGCATAAATATCAAACTTTGTTTAGTCTGGGGAAATATCATTTATAATTAGAGCTGGGCATCCTGTTGACATGATATAACCTATTTTAAGTGTGAGGTGAGCATACGGTCAACTTCTAATCTTTTGCAAGTGATTAAAAACTGCCAGTTCTTGTGTTCCTGACTCCTTTCTTCTGAATTCTCTTTCTTTCTTTTTATTTTTTTTAAGTGTGATTTCTAAAAAGCAGTGGGGCTAACGTCAGCTCGAGATAACGACGCTTATACTGGCAGGGATGTCTTGGAGCATCTCAGCAGCTGGGAATTTTGCTTTCTGCTCGTGCACCCCTGCTTGTCTCCACGCCAGTCCCACCAACCAAGCCTGTTCACCTCTGCCTTGGAAGAGTGGGAATCCCATGAGGCTTGGTGGGGGAGGAGATGGTCCAGGATTGACTCTGTGTGACCAACACTGACCTGTGGCCTTTTTTTTTTTTCTGAAGTGGGATTTGCCCGTTGCCACATCCTGCTGCCCTCGCACAGAGGAATGTAGGATCTGTGCACGGCAGGTACCAGCAGAAGGTATTGCAGAAACTGCTGCTTGTAAGCAGTTTTGGAGGCAAGATCCTACAAGCCTTCGGGGTGTGGTGCCCCTCTGGAGTCCTTGGGCTCTTTCCGGGGGTATGCACGGGTACCTCGGTGCTCTCAGATAACCTGGCTCCCCACACTGAGGGTGAGCTCTCCCATGGGCACCCTTCCCCACCAAACCAGCCTGTTCCCTCCAAGCTGGGTGTAGTTCCCGGGTTTCCTTCAGGGCCTGCATCAGGTTTGGCTGCCTCTGCTCCTCACAGCCCTCCTACACCCTGCAGGAGCAGCTTCGCTCAAGGCACGCTGAAAGAAAGGGACACCACGACCTCAGGGCTGTGGGGGCACCATCCGGGGCAGGTACCCGAGTGCTACACACCTGGACACAGCCAGCTTGCCCAGGGGAAGGGCCAGGTCTGTGCAGATCAGGCCAGGGATCGCTCCCTGGGAGAGATACCTTTAGTGGGAGAGATTACCCGGAGAAGCACCTGCACTCAGGTGTCACTGGGAATCAACCACAGGTTGACCCAAGTTTCTGCTGCCCAGGCTCCAGAGATGGAGTTCTAACAACAGCAGGATCTGTGGGAATAATTCCTTCTGCTTCCATGTGAATCTGAAATCTCTTGTCAGGAGACGTCCTGTTTGGTCTTTAACAAGTATGAATATGCAGCTGCACATGGACACAGGCAATAGCCAGTGCAGTGACAAAACCATTACTCTTTGCTTCTTTACCATTATGTGCATGTTACTGTTAAATCGATTATTCCTGTTACAATCTTGCAGCAGCAACACGAGAAACGTGTGTTTACTGCGCTATTTAACGAACCACATCTTTCACATCTGGAGGCGTTTTCATCTCGAATCTGCCACTGTGGTGCAGACCTGAAGTGACTCTGTCTCACAGGAGCTGGTGTCCTACAGAGAACAAACCTGTTGCAGAGGCTCAGGGGCTGCAGCCAGCATATGTTTATTAGCAGAATTCACAAAGCTGCTCGGCCCATGGCATAAGGGGACATAGCTTTTATCTCATTTTAATAAGCAGATGCTGGAAAGTGGGACAGAATTGATGCTGTCCAGGAGAAGGGAGCCAGAACCCCATTTTTTGGGGTGAAAAATCTTGGCAGATCCAAGTGCAAAGGGGGAAAAACAGGTGGTGCTGAAGGCAAACCTCTCCTCCAAGGGGAGGCCGCTCGGTGGAGATGCTCCTCGTGCACCCAGGGGAGAAGGTGGGAGGTTTTCTTTGAGCCCTGGTGCCTGTGGGAGCTCCCTGGTGGGGTGGCCCAGGGGTGAAGCCAAGACTCAGTTTGGTCCCGTGACATCCACTGAGGAGCTGACAAAACCCTGCCAGGAGTTTGTGCTGCCACAAACGAACCTGCAGAGCCGGAGGGCACGTGCCCAGGTGTGCCCAGGTGAGCCCAGGTGAGCTCAGGTGAGCCCAGGTGAGCTCAGGTGAGCCCAGGTGTGCTCAGGTGTGCCCAGGTGTCAGGGCACGGCTGAGCACACGGAGACAGCACAGACAGTGTGCCAGCCCCCCACTGATTTCCACAAAAGCACTGCTTCAGGAATGAAAGGGAGCTTCACACCCAAAGGAAAGAAAGCACAATCCATCCCCTTGCCCTTTTCAGAAGGCGTTGACGTCATTACCCACTCAAGCACTAAATTGAATTTATCCTTTCCCCAAGGGCGAGTTCTGCCGTGCCACTGCTGTGCCATGAGCCACACCTGAGGTGCTGGGACACCAAACACCATGTGTTTGCCCTGCTTGGGTGCTTCCCTCCCATATACCCTTTTCCTGTGCACCCCATCCTGTGGATGGACTCGGAATTTAGGGTTTGCAGCGGGCTCAGTGGCCCCGGTTCCCTCCAGCCCCTGGGACTCGGCAGGCTGACAGCTGTGGGACAGGCACGGCCAACTTCAGAGACAGGCACGTGTGCCCAGAGCCTGCAGAGGGGATTTTTTGTGGTGCTCGCAGACTGTTTCATGTGTCAATGCGAGAGGAGCGTAATTACCAGCTGAGAGACTGCAGGAAACAAGCCAAGGTTGAGTGAACGAAATGGAAAATAAAGAGGAGCGCGGGGGACACGCACACATCCAAACTCTTACGGAGGTTCGTGTTCACGTGCTCGGGGCAGCCTGGGAATATATAAGAGCTCATGACTGCGAAGGAATGAATTCAAGGACCGGTCTATGGGGAGCATTTTTTTTTTTCCCTGTGACTTCAAACTTCTCTGGGAGCTCGCAGAGTTTTTAGTCAGCTGGCATGCAACAGAGGTACGACTTCCCCAAGGAAACTCATCCTCGGCTCGCGCTGGAAAGGCTGCTGGGAGAGTCCGGGAGGCAGAAGGCTCCTCCTCCTCCACCTCCAGCCTCAGAGCAGGTACGTGGAGCCGCGTGCGAAGCCGGGAGCTGCGGGAAAGTTGAGCTTTCAGCTGCGGGAGAGGTGAGGGCTCTGCTGGCTTAGAGCTGCAGCCTTTGGAAATAACACAGATGAGGCAGGTACTGTATAAATAAAATGTACTGTGTTTGTGACTGGGCTGAGGAACTGGCTAAACACACTGTGGAGGTGGCTCTGTCCACACAGCTGTACCTTTAATCCATCAGGGACTTGCACTGCAGCGAGTTGGGTCCTTTACGTTAAGGAGGCAACCGAGTAGTTTATAAGGATGCAGTTGTCATACACTGGCTTTCTTATTCTCCTCCGTGTTTGCATAGAAGATGGGGAGAGGGTTGGTTTTTTTTTTTCTTTCTTCACAGGACTTCAGTCTATTTATGGTATTACTGCATTGTAGCGTTGTGAACCAGGAGTGCTGCAGAGATCAGCACTGAACACCGATTCGGTGCCACTCACCCGGCTCCCCGACACCGAACCCTGGCACAGCCCCGGGCAAACCACACCGGCCCCGGGCAAAAGAGGCAAAACGCTGCTTGGCTTGTCTGCTCTCCCTGTCGGTGCTGTCATTGAGCTCTCCCTGTCCCAGCACGGGGTGTGAGATGGCAGGGTGATTGTGCTGCTCCTCAGATCCCGACAGCTTGAATGTCACCTTGGGTGAACGGGGACTTACTGAGAGGGTTTTGCTGCATCTGGACTGTTTCCATGAGAATTGGTGTTTAGGCAATATTTGGAACTGGTGAAGTTTTAGAAAATCACGGTTTTATATATAAAAGTCACAGAAAATTTTCCAAGGCTGAGCCCTGTTGTGATTTTGGTAAAAGTACTTTTGATAAAAGACAAGTATGTTTCCCTTAAATAGAAGGAAAAGTTTGGGCTTGCACGACAGTGAAAATTTGGGCTTTTTTACTAAGATGTAATAATTTCAACTTTAAAACCAACTTATTACTCTAAAATGCTGACATCCTTTAGTTTCCAAGAACAAAATTTCACAATCAGTCATCTCTTTTTAAAGCAGATGGTTACATCTCAGTGACTGTATTAATGCCTGGCCCTTTACTAACACAGTGGATGGATTCAAGGGGGACCATCAGTACCATGGAAATCGAGTCTATCAGAAATAATTTTCATCACCTCATTTTGTCACCTTGGATCATATAAACCGAGTACACCTTTTCCCAAATACTGACCCTGCTGCCAATAAAAAAAAAAATTGCTGAATTAAAAGCCTATTTTACTCTCTTTTTGCTGCACTTAGATTCTAAACTGGTGAGAAAATACTCTGGTTTGGTTCCCCGGGAATTTTGTTCCCCAGGGAGAGTATTTCATGGTCACATAGTTTAATATGCAAATGCCAGTACATTTCACCTTTTGCTCATGTGAGAGTTTTTGTTTTCCATCTCCTGCTCTCCCTTTGCCCTGCCCCTCACTCACAAATTCTCCAGGCTGGTGGGTTTCATGCAACTCTTGTTCATTTACATTTTCTTTCCTGCAGAGAGTAGTAAAAAAATGGGTGAATAAAATAGGGAAACTGGCCAACCCTCAGTTAACTGGACATGTTAATTTTTGGTGGGGAGATGCTGTTGGCCGAACACCTGCTAGAGGTGCAGGTGGAGAGAGGACAGAAGGAGGAGGAAGGAAGGCAGCGGCTTCAGAAGACAGGAGAGGAGCCATGTTGGGGTCCAGGACATGTAGGAGTCCCTGTTTTGACCCGTGGAGTTGACCCCAGGAGGATGGGAGGCTGTGTGTGCCGTGAGACACCGAGCACAGCCCAGGGGGCACGAGCAGGAAGGAACCGGGAGATGCTGTGGAGTCTCAGGAGCTGGAGCTGTGCCTCCTTCCCAAAGGCTGTGGCCGAGGGTGGCACTGGCTGTTTATTTTTTAGTAGGGTTGATATGAATGTTGTCCCCAGCTCCTGGGTGGGATTGAATCACAGTGGAGCTATTCCAGCCAAAAGGGAGCGAGACTCGTCCCACTCCCGTCCTTCCAGTCCAGAGCCACTTCCTAAGGCAGGGACTTGTTCTGTGCCCTTCTCTGGAGAGTTTGGTTCACACACGGGACCCAGCCCGAGAGCAGTGCCTCAGAAAGCAGCAGGGCTGGGGATGGACAGGGTCCCAGAGGTCTGCAGGTTCAAGACACGTGATTGCCAAGACATTTCCTTGCTTCTCTGAAGCCCCGAGGAACCTGCAGCCGATTGCAGACCAGCTGGGCAGAGC